CGAAATTCAAACTTGATCTATACCTTATCAAGATATACGCCTACATACCAAAAATCAGCTCAATATCTGCAACCGGAAAACCAAATGGGACAGACTGACAGATGGCGGGACAGACAGACGGACAGACTCAGAGGAAATCTATAGTCTCCTCCGGTTTCACCGGTAGGGGACTAATTACGGATGTCCAGCAATCACGTCTGGCTGTCAGACATTGTATGTTTGTGTTGTGTTTTACTTTAACGTTAGAAGAGTTACATGTAATTCTTTAAATCATCATCCGTTTTTTTTAAATACCAAACTGTCAGATCTTCTCCATTTCCATAACGACCGCCATGTTCCCTCACAACTTGTAAATAACTAGAATTTGAACTCCTGATGCATACGTCACCAGATACGGGTAATGTGACAATTTGCTTTCACTTTAGAACTTCCATGATGTAACCTTTATATACGTTGTTTTTACAACTTGGTATAGGCGATAGATGGCATGTGACTAATAAGTGGGAATAACAAAAGCCACTCTCATGGCCGCTGAGCTGTATTAAATCGTCAAAGTATAAAAAATTATATATTATAAAATGAGAAAAAAAAATACTTTTCGTTCTTACGATCTGACCTTATTTTTAAAATACAACGATCAAATTTAATCTAATTCACATCATAACTCAGTGATAATATCTTCTCGAATCTTTTTTCACAAATACAAGAAATATGAAGAAAAATCCTTCAAATGCATACAATTAAATCCATATAGAGTTTCTACAATCTTATAGTGTTATATACTTCCATCAACTGTAGAGGACGGAACCAGACAATGTTCTGTTTTTATGTCTTTTACTGTGAATCTATAGAGAAAAAAAACACTTAGTATGAAAATTTAATTTCAGTAGAAAAAGAAAATTTTAATTTCTTACCGATTCCGAACACCCGATTCTTTGCCACCTGTCGTATATTGAGTCCAATAGCTGAACCGGCATTTGTAGGGCTTGATTTACCAACAATAACGAAATATTTATATGCTTGAAATCTGTTTCCATTTGACAGTTTAAAAAAATCGTAAAATGCAACACGCAATGCCTCGGCCAGGTTAACCGTTGTAGAGGCGCTTGGTATTGTTAATGCCGTAATTGCGGTGTCCAACGATGCCGCTGTAGTATAAACGTTAAACTTGAAATTCTGGTCGATAGCATTGTCATAGGATATCACCCCAACTTGTATATTACTGGTTGAAATTTGCATAGTCCTCACCAAATCACCAATAACCGATACTAATTCTGAGTATATAGAAGAGGTGTATGAGGAAGCCTCTATAATAAACAGGATGTCAATCTTGCAGGTTGAAACTGAAAAAAAAATTAAACATGCATCTGAATTCTTGTTTGAAACCTATATTTTAATCATTTCAATCAACTTAAGTAAGCATTAAAAAACAAAAGCTAAATCCTGACCGGAACAGACAAGCGGGTATCCCGTCCAGAACTTTCCGTAACATGTTCGCTGTGTGTTCCCAGCAACCTGTTTGTACCCTGAGTTACATGCGTAAGTGCTGACTCCATTACAACCTGTAGAACTTGTGGGAACGTTCACGTTGCCGTTTAATTCATGGGTACAGGAAACATCTGGAAGAAAATTGTGAGAAAAACAGTACATGTACAGTGTATGTAATATAGAACTCGATACTTGCGCGGAAGTACTAGAATACACATGTATGTAGAAAAAATATGTTACATGTAATAATTCAATATGATTAATAAATTAATGTTTTTAAATCATTTATTAAAAATTTAAAATCATAATTCACGTAGTCTTGCAGTTTGACCCTAAGTCACTTTTCTACGTTGAAATTTGACCCTGGTCAATATCCTATGGGTGTCACTTTTGCTGTTACACAGGAAGATAAAACACAGCTTTATGTTTATCATCATGACCAGGGGAAATTGTCTAGTTAAAGAAATCATGAAGCGATCTTTTAATGGTTCTTGGTATGTGCAAAATAAGTACATACAAGAATTCTACAATATCAGGCTTTAATTTGTATTCGTAATGATTATTTGGTCTTTTATCGTATTCAAAATACAACGTAAGCTACATTCAACAGGGAGGCGTATGTTCTATATAAATCGTTTAACAATTTTCTTCTGGCCTGAAGTTTTGTGCTTATTCCCCCAATATAAAAGTATATACTTAGATATATGACCAATAATTGTTTTATTTTGAGCGCTATTTTTATGTGTCTTTAAATACATACCGTTAGGGAACCTCCATTGTCCTGTTGAACCCCATCCTGTTCTGATCAAAATGTACTTGATGTCATACATCGGGGAATGTGTACAGCTCAATTTCGTGTTACTGCCGACTGACTTTCCAGTGCCCATTTTGATTGTGTTCGAAGACCATGAGATCCAGAACTCGTCGTACCAGGATTGGCTCAAAAGTGCTTGATAATGTTCAGCACACATAGCTCCATCTATCCTTAGTTCAGTCTTAGTATTGGCCCATCCGGCAATGATAGCTTCATAGCTGGCAGCAACAGAGCTGGAATCCACAGTATTCAGCAACACATGAATGTCATTGTTAGCCTTCGCTCTAAAAGTAAAGGAAGTTCTCCCCAAGGCAAGGAAACAATTTGGTGAAAGCGTTTTGTAGACTTGGTCATTTGGTGTAGACCTGCTGAATTCTGCAGATGCTGGTAAAAAAGAAAATTTAAAAAAATATTATACCATTAGTCAGTCCAAAACATATAATGCATGGACTGTAAATCTGCAAAATTCTGTTTTATCAATTCCGAAATGAATTATATCAAAATTTAAAAAAAAACGTGAATAATTTTAAACAAGCATTCTGAGAGTATTGCATAAACAATACATGTCCCCTACCCGGATCCCGCTTCATTTAATGAAAAAATGCCACAAAACAATTTCATACTTAAAAAATATCAATTTGATTCGGTTTTTCACCATAAAGCTACCCAGCAAGTTTCAAATCAATAATTTTTAACATGAAAATCTCCTTTGGAACTGTACATTTATTTCATGCAACACGATCCCGATCATAAACCCCATAATAAAAAAAGTTAAATTCCATAATTCTGTGAAAATTCAATGAAGTGGAACGAAATGCAAACTTGACCTTTAACTCATCAAGGTAAAATCACATACCAAAAATTAACTCCTATGTAAGCGTTTAGAAAAAAAAGTGCGGAAAACCCAGAAAAAGTGAAAAGGTCGTTTTTCAATTAGGTCATTGAACCGGAACTAAATGCAAACTTGATCTGTAAATCATCAAGATACACTCGCATACCAAAATTCAGCTCAATATCTGCAAGGTTTTGGAAAAAAGTGCCGAAAACCAAGAGGGACAGACAGACGGACGGACAGAGGCATATGAAACCTATATTCCCGCCCTGCTCCATCGGTAGGGGACTAATAATTAGATTGGACATATTTCGTTATTATCGAAAAATTGTAAACTTGCTTTCTATGACATTTTTCAATTCACAAACAACTTTTAAAGTTTGGTAATGCCGCTTTTTAAAAGTAAGTGATAAAAAATAATTACATCATTTTCAGTTTACCTAATCTAAAAGCTCAACTGAACTTTTCTTAACACATTTTGTCCGGCGTCCGTTTGTTTATATCTAAACTTCTCGCATTTTTTTTAACTCCTGGGCCGATATGAATCAAAATTCTTGGGTAAAGTTATTACATGTTTGTTCAAATGTCATACATGTATCTACTGAAAGCCTTTCCGGCTATCGTATTCATTCCTAAGTTTGTATAACTATAAATTTATAAATACATGGATATGAAATTATATCCCAATATGACCAAGCAAGAACGTTCTAGCAAACATTTATTTCGCATTGAAGCTAGCATTCAGGAGTAGCATACCGTAAAGCAAAATTTCTTAAGCCAAGTGTGGCCCTAAAATGTTAAGTATTAATTGATTAACTTATCAAAACAACTGTTTTAAAATGCCATAGAAGGGCAATTTCCTTGTACTTTTAAAAACTCAACTAAAATATGTATTGAAAGAATGGGAGAAAAGAACATTGTAATTTATCAGCAGTTTACATGCTCGAAGAGAGGCGGACTTAAGGTAGGATTCTTCTCTGGTTTCTGAGTAAAGGAAATATTCAATGTATATTTACTTATATGTCTTATATATTTAGGTGAAAGAGATTTAAAAGACCATATTTTTCTTTCCTCGTCACAATTGTACAACTTTAAATAGAAATGGTCAATTGTGTTTGAAAACTAGCAGGGACTATATTTTTGGCGGAATGGTGGCGTATGAAAATATCTTCTTTACTGCCTCTCAAAATTATTATTGAACTACGAATTTAGTTATAATTTTTACACAATCAAAGACCAGAAGAATTTTTCAAATGTTAGCTAAATTAATAATAAGGAACTAAAGTTTTAAAATATATCAAATAAATATGATTTTCCAAACAAACTACAATTATATTTGCTTTTAAAAGTTTCGACTCTAAGTACAGATATGAGCCAAAAATCGTGGTTTTACTCTCTTACTAAACGGTCAAAACTTTTTGTTTTTGTTTCATTTTGTATCTCTATATGACTGCTTTACTATATGTAATCAAAGTACTCAGAAGTACTGAAAGCCGGGCTCATTTACAGGGTATTGAACAAAGACCGTGGTGACAGTTTTGAAATCAAGTTCAGACGTTTAGAGGATATGTTACACACAAAAATATCTCAATGGCATGTATAGTATTAAAAAGTTTTAAAAATTAAATAAAATATAGCTAGAAATTATCAGCGTAAAATATTTATCACATGTATCGTTTCGGGGTTTTATATACAAACAGAAGTAAATAAACACCGATGCAGCAAGATTAATTAAGGTCAAACGACGATGCACTGATGTGTCCTCAGCGGGGAGTTTTGCATCAAGTCATTAATGATGTTCCCTGCATTTGTGTTAGCCTGATAGTACAACCTTTATTTATAGAATATTACGCATTCATGGATACCTGATGAAAACCTTTCGCACCTTTTGAATCGCTTTGTAAAATATTAGTCAAAGGAGCCAGGAAAAATATTAAACAATTTAGTATTTGGATAAAAATATTAGATTTACTATTTCTTAAGGTGTTTGAACGGATTTTGTTTTCTCAACAGCAGCTGGGCGTACGTACTATATTTTTACTCGTAAACTCAATTTGGCGGTGAAGAAGCAGCATTTTCTGTTGCTCACCGTCGCAATAGCCGGGCATTGCTCTACGAGCAATGAGCCCGGCTAAAAATAAGAAAAAGTTAAATATAGGGCGCACATAAAAATAACTTAAATATCCTAAAAATTCAGAAAAATAGAGAAAATTCGGATTAGCCAAAATCCATTTTTGTTAATTTAAACTATTTGTGTCAATTTGGTAATATCATCTTATAGACCCTATATGGTAATATCTTTTTATGCAAAAAGAAAAACATTTAATCTTTTGAAATAGAAGACCCTATCTCATGATTGGATGCATTTATATTTAATGACCAGGGAAAAGGTTAAACCTTGACCTGACCTTGAATCTAATATAAAACGGTCAAAACTAATCAAACTAATACCATCACTTATCATATTGTCTTCATGATTCTGTGAAAATTTCATTAATTTTTAAAAACAAGAAATACAGTTTTTTGTGAGAAAAATCCTACCTTAAGGGGCTTAAATTATATCATCCCAATGTTATATTTTGCTTTAATTCAACACTACTACTGAAATTGCCAAATGAATGATTACATGACTAAACTGTCCCCAGTGACAACTGCAATGTTTAAATCTATTAAATTATGTAACTCGTGAAATTTGTAATATCAAGGATTTTTTAGAAGAATACGAGGGGTGATCAAAAAGCGAACTATCTCAATATTTACAAAACTACAATATAGATCAGAATGAAATTTGGCACACCTAAAGTCATGCACATGTTCTATAAATAGCATATGAAAAGTAATTATTTTCTCCATCATTGTGACGTCACAATGTGAAAATGACGTCAATATGCAGGTGACTCACGACGAAAAATGGTTGCCCCAGTCTTACTCAAAGAACGAACGGCTGTAAAGTTTAGCGTATAACTTAAAAATTCCTTTGAAGTAATTTATAATAATTTGTACAATGTTTATGAAGACAATATACTTTCCAGACGTTCAATAATAAATTGGATTGATTGTTTTAGCGAAGGGTGGGAGATGGTTCAAAATTATTTTTGTTTTGTAGCCCAGCGAAGGCAAGCTCGGTAAGAGATGTGTCTGTTGTTAGGCAATTTGTTAAGAAAGATCGCAAAGTTACAGCTACAAAAAATAGTTGAATATCTTAACAATTATAATTATAATAGTTAAATCCCTGAAATATTGTTTACTTTAGACTTTAAATATATAAAATATGATAAAAATAACACCCCCATGCTATTTATTCATATAGGATAAACGACGTTCCTCAGACAGATGACTCAGGTTGTGATGGTCACAGTGCTCTTTCTAGCGAAGCATATCCTTACCGAACCATCCTATTTCCGAGATTTGGTCATTTCTGACAAATGGACTGTTCTTGTTATAAAAATTTACTTGCAAGGTAAGACATATAAGACTCGGAAAATATGTTAGCGTCTTTGAACAGACTGCTTTCGGAGCATGTCACGTGACCACCTGGACCACGTGATTCACGCATGGGCAGAACGGTGGCAGATGTGCATTAAAATCAGAGAGGGCTACTTTAAAAAATAATGAACACTGAAACGCAATTTTATTTGTTTTATGGAAGTTATTCAATTTGTTCGCGAACTTTTTGATCACCCCTCGTAATTTTGATAATTAATCATGTAGTATGACTAAAAATCGCAAAGAAAAGGGAGGGAGGGGGTCAGTGTGCATCTGACTGAGCTACATATGTACGGTTCAATATAGTTAGACCTTTTTCCACTTAAATTGTCACTCCTTGATTAATCACATAACCTTGGTCATATTTTATCAGATGAAATCATGACAATAAATATAATCTTATTTTATCTAAAATAGTTTGAATAATATATTTATCATTGAACATTCAATAATATATTTATCATTGAACATTCAAATTAATGCGCATAAATTATTTTGTGAATTTTTTGTACTAAAGAATATCATATTTGAGGTATTAAAAATCTAAATATGCAATAAAATGTATTCTTGTATGAAACTTTTTATGACTGTGTAAATTTTATCTTGATTTCCTTAATTATATATCTTCATTTCTTGGCAAGGTTTGTTGAGAGGTGTAAAACTTGTTTTAAAAAAATCAATTGAGACTATATTTAATATTTGTAGCATATCTTTACGTAAAATATCCTCCGAGTGAAAGCACATGGGGACAAAGTTTCACGATATGAAATTTGATAAATGTGTTGAATTGAAGAATTACCTGCCAAATATCCTTACACCACAAAAAATAATCCATCATAAATCTTGTTATTTTATGAATTTTTGAACGGTTTTTAATAATGAATGATTTGTATATATTTTATAATTCATAAAAATTGAATTGTACGTAATTAATCGTTTTGAAGTAAAAGTTTTTTTTAAAGCTGACGAGTGATATAGGGTGCACTTACCATGCATCGGACACCTAAGTATTTAATTCAATAACTTCTAGCGATATCACTACCAACGGAAAATTATCAAAATGGAGCTAAACATTTAGTATGTGATTAGAATATAAAGAAGAAGGTATGGTTTTAGCTTTATTGTGCCCTAAAAATGTAATGTCATCGAAAAGTTTTGAAACCGGCTTTAATATCATTTAAGTATATGACTGTGATAAATCAGGAAAGAATATGGCACAAAGGATTACCATTCTGCAAATATGACGTCATTAATGTGTTGCACTTCTGTATTTTTAACAGAAAAGGCCTTTGATTTGTATGATTTTTCTGTATAGCATTTCAATGATTCAGAAAGCATTAGTTTTTATCTTTTACACCAGTTTCATTTTTTTTAGAAACCACAGGGCAAGATTTGTATGGAAACCATACCTTGTTCTTTGGTATACAATTGCATGTTATTTATTGAGAAAATATAATTAAAAACCGATTTTTTGGTAAATGACTAAGAATTCACCATGGATTGGACATTATTTAAAATGAATCGGACAAACGCTATTTGAACTGGGAAATGTCATATCTTTATCACATTGATTTATTTTTTGAGTATGGGTATACTTTTATCTTTTCTATAAAAACTGACATTAACTTAAATTTAATTGAAGATATTGTTGCACAAATGTGACTCAGAAAGGCTTTAAAGTACGTGCAATAGGACAAAATTGCACCTTTTTCTCGTGGCTTATCATACTCTGGTTTGTAGACATAAATTGAGTCAGACACTAGACGTCATATATTGATAACTTGTATTTTCCCTCACAGTTTAGAGTTTTGCATGGAAGGAAGCATGATGCACTACCCCCCCCCCCATCCCCCAACACACACACACCCTCACTCACACACACACACCACCTGACGTTACACACACACATAACTAATGTTTATTATTAGTTATGTGTATATTTTTTTATCAAAAGAAAAATAAGTAACGTCAGGTGCCTGTGACACACACATACGCACACACATGAAATAGGTTTTTCACGTTTGGGAAACAATTTACGGGAGTTTTTTTTTGTATTTTTATATGCCTTGTCAAGAAATTTCTGGGTTGGAAATTATTTAACTGGGGTGGACCCCCCCCCCCCCGGAAAAAATTCCGGATCCGCGCCTGAAGTAAAAACCAACTGTAATTTTTTTTTTTTTTTTTTTTTTTACAAATATTGAAGTGAAACGTTAAATTAACGTTAAATTACAAATCATTGAAAAAATTCACATAGGTCCTACTCGTTCCGTTTAAGTCGAATTCAAAGAACGACAACTCTAAAAATTGCAAATTCATAAACATCTGGTTATTTCCCATTGAAGCCAATATGACGTAATTTCAAGGCCATTCTTGGGGTAATTTTATCACATGATAATAAAAATTGGCATCATGAAAATTTAAATCTTCAGCTTGAAGACAGAAACAAGTAAAAACAACAAGACTCTCAGGTTCAGAGATTTTATTGCCGAAAGTTGTCCGAAGCAAGGTATGAGTCCGATGCATAGTTAACTCGCCTTACCTTAAACAACTTAACTGGTAATTGTGTTTTGGCGGAGTTGGTGAAAAATAAGAATATATGTTTTCATAACTATGGCTTCAAAAAAGGTAAGTTTAAAAAATCAACTAGTTTGATTAAGCAGGTAAATACGCACTTAATGGTCAAATATTAAAGTGAAATGCTCTACTCAAAACAACCAAGTTTATTTACTTACAAGTACAGCCATATCTTAGACAGCCCATGGATTGTGAAGGAGCTGTTCCACATCCTCCTCCTGGCCTGACACAAGATCTGTATCTAACTATTGACTGAGTCGAGCAGTCACCGGGACATGACGACCATGATCCCCAATTTCCCCATATTGCTGAATACACAACAAATATATTAATTATGTCTATAAAAAATAAGATACAAGTTCACTATAAATGTATAACAAATTACAAGCAGAAATCTTTCTATAACAGTACATTCAATTAAAATTCCAGCATGTCAGAGATTTAGCAAAGAGGCCATTTATTAATCGAAATTACATGGATTATATATAAAGATCAAGCAAATTCAAAGAATTGTGGTCCACCGCTTTGGGTGTCTTAGTAGATGGGAGATCAGACATGAAGGTCAAGGTGAGGTTAGAGGGCAAATATCATACCACATTTGGTAACATTTTGACACAGGTAATTCACGTATCAAATATGATCACCAAAGTTAATATGTTTGAAAATTAGGTCAAATATGAAGTTCAAGGCCAAGACGTCAAAAATCATAGCATGCTCGGAAACATCTTATCACAGATATACTAGTAAGTAAATATTTCTTTAAACAAAGATAAAATTTTGACACAAACAATTTTAATTAATCTTTACTTATTCAAATTTTAAGAAGTTTAGGTAAAACAACACAATAAATTTCAAAAACCAGTCCAAGTACATTTAAAATATGGAATCCTATCCCTTTAAAAGTTATAAATACGGGATTATTGTTTTTGCAATATATTATCTTCCTTTCACACACATAAAGTCACACCAATTTAATAGTAATGTTAAATTTTGAAAATTAGATCAAACTTTACGGGTTTTTTTTTGTATTTTGTATAATGATATCAAATAAATTTCTTTTCTCTTTCGTTATTCTGTTTTGTGCGAGATAACTGACAGAGGATTGAAAAAAAAGCGAGTGACAAAAAAGTAAAAAAATTTTGGACTAAGAAAACATCAGTATACTTTATGTACAATATTTGTAGTAAAAAAGGCGCTCTCTTGAATTAAAATACTTTCTGAAACAATTAACGTACTTTATATTCTTAATACAGAATAGTTTATTTACTCACTAATGGAATATAAAGAACAGCAGTTATTCTCGGTGAACGATGTATCTTAATTCAAAACATTGGAACTTTTTCCTTTTAGCATGACCTCAATTCTTAGCCCAGGGAAAAAGTTAAAATTATTGAAAATAATACTAGTAATCCTGCAATACTCTGTGTCATTTCAGCATAGTGAATGACAGGAAAGTGGTTTATATATTTACAAAATGTAGCATTGACGTCATATGATAATGAACTTTTTTTTTTCCAGCAGTTAACTTCAAAATGGAAATTATTTCGTCACTCTTCAATATTTACAACAACAAACTGAGATACCGTAACTGGTATTTTCTTCTTTAAAAATTTTGGGCAACCAAGTTTTACCTTCGGACAAGTCAAAATTGTAGTTCACTTGCCCGAAGGACAAGTAAATATTAAAGTTAATGTCTATCCCTGATGTTAGGGGCAAATATCATAGCACATTTGGTAACATTTTGACACAGGTAATTCACGTATCAAATGTGATCACCAAAGTTAATATGTTTGAAAATTATGTCAAATATGAAGTTCAAGGCCAAGACGTCAAAAATCATAGCATGCTCGGAAACATCTTATCACAGATATACTAGTAATATACATGTCAAATATGAAAGCACATCTTTTCTCAAAAAAAAGTTTAAGCAAAGATAAAATTTTGCAGAGTAGGTCAAACTTCAAGATAAAGGCACGGGATACAAAAACATAGTATATTTGGATTGGTCTTATCACAGATAGTGTAATATGAAAGCCCTATCTTTACTTATTCAAATTTTAAGACCAATTTCAGGTAAAATTATTTTTTAGAAACGTCATACTTCAAGGCAAGGGTGAAAAATCATAGTATATTTGGAAAGAACCAGTCACAGATAATGTACATTTAAAATATGGAATCCTATCCCTTCTAATTAAAAGTTATAAGCAAAGATAAAAGTTTTGAAAAGTAAATCAAATATTAAAATCAAGGGGTCAAAAAAAAAGTATATTTTGGTCTTGTCGAAGGTAATTTAATATACATGTACATGTATAATATATTATAAAAGTCCTTTCTCTTCTCATTCTAAAGTCATAGCCAATTTAAAGTAATGTTAAATTTTGAAAATTAGATCAAACTTCAAGGTCACGGGGTCAAAAATCATAGGATATTTGGAAAGGTATTGTTGTAGGTAATGTACATATGAAATATAAAAGCCTTATCTTTTCTCTTTCAAAAGTTATGACCAAACTTTAAGTTTTTTGTGCGAGATAGACTGACAGAGGATTGAATGATATTTAATGTCCCCTCGCTTTCGCAAAAGCGGGTGACAAAAAAGTAAAGATAAATTTTGGACTGGCATGGAAATACACATTTTAAGAAAACATCAGTATACTTTATGTACAATATTTGTAGTAAATGTAATTAATCCAAGATATTGTGCTTTTTTTTCATCATATAAGGCTACATTATAAATTTTCATTACGCTATATAAGAGTCGATGCAGTTTTAAAAAAAACTCTTGAACTTAAAATACTGAAATTTCTGAAACTATAAAGAAAATAATAGAAAAAGAAGTGATACTTACTTTTGCAACTGTAATACCACACCAATGATTTAGTACACCCTGAACATGGATTTCCACCCAGCCAGGAGTTGGTGGCATATATAGTACAGCTACTGCCAATAGGATAATTACAGTTAGAATCCATTTTTGTGAATGGAATTTCGACTATGCACCGCAAAGCCATTTTTTTCCAGTACCCATACGTGATATCCAGATAGTTCCCTGCTGAGCATGATCTGCTAGTGGAACTTCCCTGCGCTGTTGTAATACAGTCTGAAAAAAATATCAGTCTCTTCAAGGCAAGATGATCATATGATTATCTTTTTCATGAAATTTAATTCTTTTAAATAATTGATCACATATAGTTTACAGATGAACAGCTAGGCAGACGGAGAGAAAAACTAAAACAATGCAAGGCAAAAGTTTTACTGGTCTTTGACGCTTGGGGTTTTATAGTATCTTTCATCCTTTTTTTGTGGACAAATACCTAAAGATTCTTATCTACGTCATTTATATTGCAAAATAGGATTATATAAATTTCTTGAAAACAAAAAAGTGTGTGAATTAAAAACCTCCTTCAGACAAAAAATATTATCTGTGCGCCATATCTTATGTATATATTTTTAGAGATACTCCCAAAATTGAATTCAGTTATTTAAACAATCATACTTATAAATTGAATCCGACTTCAGCACGTGTTTTTATTCTTTTATATCGGTGAACTCTCTAGATCTCAAAAAAACATACAAATAAACTTGGACAGTTTATTCCAGACTGTTATGCAATGAGGATTCAATTCTTAGAACAGGTTAAAAAAATTAATTTTCAATTTTATAAGGAGCATTATGACATTGGCAAACAAAGCAAATAGCAAACAGGCGTATATATGTTGAGCAAGCCATTCGCAATGAAGTACAAATTCTGAAGCATGTGTGTACTTTATTCAGCATTTAGATGATATAATTAAAACTGTTGCTGGCATTTGCAATATATCCCTTGCCTAAATACAAAAAATTATTCCAAAATTTTCTTTTATGTCATAGCACCTAAAGAACAAGTAAAACATTTTTTTTCACAGTAACAGTTAAACTTCAAAAAACAAACTGGACAATGAAATAATATTTAACACTCCCTCAATAAACAGTTTCAATAAATAACATAATTTACTTGGATGTTGAACATTTCAAACAAAACCACTTATCTTTCTTTTTAAACTGTTTGTGTTACATTTACACACTTAAAATGAAACCACAAATTGCATTCATCACAAGCAATGCTTCTGTCACTATAGGATGTAATAGACCCTGTTTCTTTTATGATGTTTCTACACACTGGACAAAAATATCGAGAACTGTTACTTGTACCGACATCAACATCCATAGGTTCTATATTCTCTTGACATTCATTAAGTTTACCTTGTAATAGTTCAGGTACAATGTAATCAGTGAAAAATATAACTAAATTTGGTAACAAAAATTTTGAATATGTTCCTGATCAAATTTGATTCTAATTGTAATGGGCCATTTTTTGTGTATATATATAAATCACACCAATTGCGATGTTATGCCGAGCTGACCCTGAATGCTGGGTAAAATATGCATGATTTTTTTTAACACAAAAACCATCATTACAAATTTTTACATATTCTGGAAATATGAAACACAAAAAGATTTACTTTTTTACACTCCGGTACAAAAGGACACTTAATCAAGAAGATACAACATGAACAAGAAACCAGTAAATCTTGTAGCAAAATAAAATATTTCTCTTGTCTATAAACAGACCACACTATTCTTGATGACACATTGACATGTTGTTTTTTCATAATTTTTCAAATGAACAGATTGCTAATGGCTCATTTCTTACCATACATTTAAAGATTTGATATTGGGATTACATTTTGTATAGCACATGATAGACTTGGTAAGTGGAAAATCTATTGTACATTTTTCTAAAACCATCCAAACAAGTTCAATTTTGTATATACTTGATAAAATTTAGAAGCAGTTATCCGTCCTTTGAGTTTTTAAAGCGGTGCCAATTTTCATTTTCATGTTGTCCAACAGAAAATTTCTCAATAGTTGAAATTTCATGAATCCTTTTCGGTAAAAAATTTAAAAGTTCATAACAAGTATTTTGAGAACCATAAGTTTTGATATGGTATAAATCAAATTTATCAATCCCAGAAAGGTCTTCATGGCCTGTATTTACTTCGTATATTTATGGCTCCCTCTGCTTCCTGAGCTGAAATTGGAACATACACCAGTCCGAGGTAAACCTATATTAATAAACAAAACTTTCATAATTCTTTGAATGGTGTAAAATTTATCCTTTTAAAGTAGATATATTGTATATTTTGATGTACCAATGAACTTCCAGAACTGGGCAAACCAAAACACCTCACCCCTATTAAGCAACATAGTAATGTGCCAGGAATGTCAGTGAACATCATTACAAAAAAACATTTCTATTTCCATCTTACAAATTTTATAACTATGTTATAAACTTATATAGATTTTTTTAATTAATTAGTAATAATACATTTCAGAATTATACAGTCATGCTAATTGGTTTATTGTCAAATGTGAGGAGACAATTTGTGAAGTCTTATTCATGCTCCGCAGGGTGACACCTGTGTTGCCTTTCAAATGACAATAAAATAGCTCAAGTTTTAATTGTAACAACTCTGTTGTCTTCACTAAGTTTAAAATAGGTGTCATAAACAAGATGACTCATATTTATAATTACATAATTAAATTTGTTTACGGATTGGTAAACAATTAATTTTAACAGTGAGGACAAAGGTATATGGAATTGGAGCAAAACTAAAAATGATTTGACTAATGTTTTCTAATCTTATGCGATCTTAATATAAGATTCTTTATAATAATAAAACATCATGGACTAAGAAGGGGACCATCACTAATTATCAGGTCCGAGTAGGGTTGTATGCCCTTTGGCACAATCTCAGGTGTCAACTGTAGCAGCTTATTTTTGAATCCCCTGTTATAAAGAGTCCATAATGTTAGAAATAATTTACCTTTGAATAAACAGTTGACAACAAAAAAAAGTGCACATGCTCAAACTGTCAAGTATGGCGGTGTTGGACTCCTAATTTCAAGAGGGTTGTACTTTTTCTTTTCAGTGGCCAATTTGCTTTTAGCTATAAAATTAAATCATATATAAACACAAAATTGATTCATAATCTTTTCAAAAAAGATATATATTTAGCCTTTCATTAGTGTTTTTGTTGTATATGAACCATGAAAAAAAAACAGCTAAAGTTTTAAAAAATATGTATTTATCAAGGACACTGGATAATTTTTTCAGGTTACAGAATATTTAAGTAAACAACAATATGGAAGTATGTTATGAAATCATAGTTTAAATGATAGACCATATTTAGCTCGAGAAGATTTCTTCAGGCTGGTACATAAGGCTGATATTTTCAGGGCTCCAGTATCTTTCATCACCTTTGGCTGCACCCATATCTGGCCATAGTACATGACTTGCCCATACTGATTAGCAGACTCGTTGTGAAAAAGTAATGCATAACATCTTGCATGTTTGCCCCATTCTACAATATTGATTTATGTTGTATAATTTAAAACATGTATGACACACTTTATCTTTAAATAAATTTGACCATTACATATAGTTTCACTGAAATGTAAATTTTCATACCCTGCAGTACATGTACAGTAGGCTCCCAAAAAATTCAACCTCTTCAAAATTGCTGCCCAGCAGTCATGTAAATCATCTCGAATTCGTTGGGAGAGGGTGCACTTTGCTCTTAAGATGCATTTCTTTTCGCTTGTCAAACGGTAATAAAAAACTTCTTGGAGCCAGCCACTTGTTATATATGCTTTGCCAACCTTGTAATCTTTGAGAAGTGAATTTGTAAGGGAGACATCTCCATGCTTTAATAAAAACTGAGTAATGTCAGACAAAAATGTCGGTGGCCACTTATCTATTGCACTCTTCTCGTCCATCCATCCTTCGATTTTCAGGGGGTCTTGGATTCCACAAGCAGTAAAATACTTTCATAGCACTTAGCATTATGTTCTAAAATATACGAGCTGTTGGAATAATGGTAGATTTAACTTGGAAGCAGAAAAACAAAGAGCTACAAGTTCTTCTTTAGTATTTCTTTAACAGACCCCTCTTGGTTAAATAGGCCTTCAAATTTTCTGTTTTCCACGTTTGGAATTCTTGCACGGTGTAAATCTATCTCCAGGATCCATAGTGTAAGTCTATATCAAATTGTGTATACGTAAAATGGCTCAAAATTTTCGATAAATAAACAAGTGAAATTATCTCTCTCAGTATTGTTTTAGCAATAAGGCCGCTTAGGTTAAAGACTTTACGCCGATTGACCTTTGACACGGGCCGCTTACAACATATTATTGAGGAATGTGAAAGTCGTCTATTAAAAACAGTCTGGCAAAATATGTACACCCAAACTTATGTTATATGTATGGATACTCGCTTGGCTACACATATTTAAACAATTCTTTTAATAAATTGACTCCGACTTCAGCACGTTTTTTTTACTTCATTTTGTTATCGGAACTCTCTAGTCTCAAAATTATACAACTCAAACTTGGACGGTCATATATCCAGATTGCTATGCAATGCCATGGTCAATAATACAACATCCCCCCACAAAAATATAATTGATCAATTTTATAAGAACCATGTCATTGGCAAAGCAATCTGAGTATACACATACAAATACAATGACAATAATGTATATCCATATATCACATAGCATATGTAAGTAAATTGTAGATGATAAATGAGATACAGTCAAATACACCAAAATACAAAAGATTCATGATCATACAAGCTGAATTTAAGGCTATTCAAGTAAGTGATAACTCAGTCAAAACTGATATGACATCAATGACATGAACATTACCTCTTTCAAGCATCAACCTATGCAAACACATGTCATGGTGTAAAAACTTGTACAACATTCTTGAGCCTGAGTGACTAAAGTATATATTTACTAAATGTAGATCATTACATCATACAACTACAAGTAATTCCATGCCACTTTAGTGATAAATCCACAGTAAAGTAGACCTCAAACAGAGTGGTCACGAGCAAACTTTTGAAAATTTAAAAAATAATTACATGACAACAGGTATCTCCTGTAAAAAAAAAATTTAAATCAAAAATTTTAATATCATCATCAAATACTATGTAGCACATGAGTGTTAATTACCATGTTGATATCAACTGACCAATTTTAGGTGAATTACCATGTCATACATTTCCTTCAAAATTCAGACATCATTACATCCTCAAATGTAATACAGTCATGCATCCACAGCAATTTCATAATACATGAAAAAAATACAACTCAATTATAGTAAAAAAAAATTACATTTACATTGGGGGAGGTTTTTGTTTGATTTATTTTTGTGTTTTAGTGTTCGATGCTTCCTAAGGTAAGCACATAGAATTCTAAGCTGGTTCCCCAGAAAAATGCACTAGGAACTCATTGGAATTACCTGATCCTCTTTGTCCAAGCACAGTGTTTTCCCCAGAATTTTTTTTTATGCATGGGGGGAATTTCGCTGAATTGACGGCGCTCGGCGTGTGTCAGTAGCACTCGTTTAACCTTGTAAAGTGTTCCAGTGTCCGACATTGAACTAACTTCAACTGAGAAAGGATCTTGGTCAGAGTCTCTATAGCGAAGAGGCTTCTTACACACACGGCGAAGTCGCACTCGTTCGGGTAACACAGGTACCGTAGGTGCACACTTCTTTGAACCATCTGCAAGTGTAGTGTTCTTTTCAAGGTTTTTCTCCCTGAGAATTCTGGGTCAAAGGGTCATCACCTTGGGTATTTACCATGGGATTCTGGAGCTCTGATGTTTGGTTGAAATCCTGTCTGGTCTGAGTGTCTATCTGATTCTGTTTATCAGTACAAGCAGGCGAGACTGTCGTGTGAGTTATAACTGGACCAAGTAGATAAGGTTGTAGTGATGGTGCACGAACAAAAGCCATCTTTAATCTGCTCAATGGGTTCACTAAAAAAATTTCCCAGTGTTCTGATCTAAGAGTAATACACGAGAGTCTGAGCATACTTGATGCACTATATGAGGTCCAGAGAACTTGGCTTGAAGCTTCTGTGCAGGGCCTACTGCAGGAATGGACAGGTAAGCACAATCACCTTTCATGAGGTGTAAAAGATGAGAGTTTTGGTTTGCTCCTTATTAGCCTCAATCTTGTTCCGTACTTCTGTGCGGATTGTAGGGAGTTTGTCAAGAAAAGCATGCATATACTCCTGACATCCTTTCGGTAAAGTATGAAATTCAGAATTAAGAGTCACTGGTGACAGTGGAAACCTTGGTCTGTATCCAAGCACTATCTCAAATGAGGAATATACTGAAGTACAGTTTATGCTCTGATTAATGGCAAACACAATAGATGAGAGCTTCTCATCCCAGTTTTGTCTTTATTTGTCCATAGACGGAGTAAGTCGTTCTTGTAGTGTTCTGTGCATTCTTTCACATGCACCGAGACAATGGTGGGCAAAACTAGGAGTAAATTGTTGAGATATGCCTAACAACTTGCAAACTTCTGTTGTTACCTGTGCAGTAAATTCAGTACCTTGGTCACTGAGTATGGTGTCGCATCCACCAAATGTAGTAAAGCGCTGATACAAGGCAGAAGACACAGTAATAGCATCCTTAGCTGGTATGGGTACATCGAACAAAAATTTGCTGAACATACAAGTAGCAGTAAATATGTATGTATTTCCCTTATATGACACAGGCAGTGGACCTTGTAGATCAATTTGCCAAACATCAAATGGTTTACTTGAAGTAGAAAAAGACACTATATTGGCCTTGGTCTTTGCTTGGGTCATTTTTCGACAAAATACAAAATGAGTTTGTCCAGTGTCCTCTTTAATGTGGGGAAAAAGAGATCGTCCTGATCTGGACTGTCAAAACTAGTGTCACTGTTATCTGGTAGGTCACGAGACAATGCATCAGGTACACAAATTTCTTTAGCCGGCTTGTAAACAATGTCAAAATTGAACTCCTGTAGAAAGGCTAATCAGCGGTCATAAATGGTACCCTTGAATTTTTTTTTCTGGTATAGGGGTTTCAGAGCTTGGTGGTCACATTCCAGAATAACATGGGTTCCTCTGATGTATGACTCACATTCCAAAACAGCATATGTCATTCCCAACAGTTCCAACTTTGTTATTCCATATGAACGCTGCCATTTGGACAGTCCTTTGAAACCATAACGTACGGCAATCGAATTATCCTCCCCTGGGTGAAATTGATACAGCATGAAACCAATGCACCGACTAGACGTATCCACAGCAATGCGAAACTGTAGATCAAAACAAGGGTATGCAAGTACTGGTGAGTTTAAGAGTTGTTTGTTTAGTTCTTGAAATGATTCCTCATGTCGTGTGATCCACCGAAAATGCACACTTTTCTTGAGAAGGAGGAAAAGTGGATCGGCAATTGAGGAAAAATTTGGAATATACTTTCGAAACCACTCCACCATGCCCAAGACACATCGAAGTGATGACAAAGTGGAAGTAAAGTCACACGCACACGGCTTGTAAGATTCACGAAAATTGTCTGCAAGTAACAACTGTCAATATCAGTATCACAACTGTCAATATCAGTCACACTGCTGCGCGAGGAACTGTCAATATCAGTTGAAATAAAGTCACGTGTACACGGCTTGTCACAACATTCACACGAGTTCACAGCAGGTATATAACTGTCAGTATCAGTCACACTGCGGCTGGGAGATCGACTATGGTGACGACGCTTTAGTCGCCTCTTTTGAGCTGCCCGCGTCCGATGGCGCCCGAGCCTCTCTGGTTTACAGAATGAGATGTCCTTGAACGGTGTAAGGTACAATCTGTATATTAAGTAGGACTTAAGTACAGTCTAAAACTTAACACCATAACTAGAAGCGTACGAAGATTTGGGAATCTAAGCAAAACTTAGGCGGCTGGTAGAGGTGACTTAAGTATATCTTAATACATATATTTAGAATTATTTAATGTTGATTTTCGATGTTAAAACATTCCTCTATTCATATTATTTATTAAAGAAAATAATTATCTCTATTCGACGCTGATTTTAGAATTTTAGTTTTTCCTTGGGGGGGGGGGGGGACTGATCACTGAACACAATATCACTCTCAACACAGCATACATGAAAATACAAATTTATTTTAGGGATACGTCTGAAATTTGTGGGAACTCGGTAATAGAAACAAATTGAACACAGTAATAAATCAAGGAACTGTATGTTCACTTTGAAAATATGAGTTAAAATAAATTTTGAAAAACAGAAAAGAAAGAGGATGATGAACAAAAGAGTAATAAGAAGTGTCTGTAATTTAGACAGGGCTCACTACATTATCTTATTTGGGGACCCAAATTTGGGTCAACAAAGTAATATCAATATTGTTAAAACTGTACATAAATATATTAAAAATAAAAAAGATTTTACGAATAACCAGCGTAACCATTCTGTATCTTTTACAACCCCCTTCCTTCTTTCTTCTCTCCTTGCACTCCCATTCCCTTCCTTTCTTATTCCTCTGCACCCTCGTCCTTCTTCTTTTTAATATTATTGTGTATTTCTTGCTTGTACATCGCGTTTTAATTTTGTTAATTTGGTTGTGTTGGAGAGGACATTTTAAAAGTAATCGATTACTAAGTTCAATTACATCTGTATTTCCTTCAATGATTACTTGTTACATTATATTTTATTTTTTACATGTTCAAGGACAACGGCATGTTTTTATTTTACTTTCATGAATATCATTAATATTTTTAAGGTAAAATTCAGACAAAGTTTGGCCATATTTATCTTATATCATCTGATTTCTAGCTATAATATTGTCTTTATTATCATTATTCAATAAAATATGTATATAGTAAATCAGGTAATTGACCTTCTTTATTAGATGAAACTTTTCAATTAAGCAATTATTAGATGTTTTTACGAATTAACACATGGACTATAGTTACGGTCTTAAGTTTAATTAATGTACATTGTAAAGAACACACATCCAATATATAGGAACATTTGATATTTAAAAAAGTATGATTTATAGCCTTAGACTTTAGTAGGGTGAGTTCACCATGCATCGGACACATACCTTGCTTCGGACAACCTTCGGCAATAAACTCTCTTTCAACTTAATTAGAGTTCCATGTATGTTTATTTCATTATTACATGTGTTATGTCTATGAGATGTATGTCTCTCGACTTCAATAAAACTGAACTGAACTAATAAATGTATTTATTTGTTTCTGCCTTGATGAAGATTTAAATTTTTTAATGATGCCGATTGTTATTATCATGTTGTGATAAAAATACCCCGATAGTGGCCTTGAAGTTACGTCATTTTACATCATTAGAGGGGAATAACCAGAAATTTATGGTTTTGCAATTTTTAGAGTTATCGTTCTTTAAATTCGACTTCAACGGAATCAGTCAGACTTTGGTGAATTTTGTCAAAGATTGGCAATTTTACATAAATCTTAAAGAAATTTCTCTTCAATGTTTGTATAATTCTTTTAAGAGCTGGTTTTTACTAGTATGTTCATTTCTCCGTACATCGGACACAAATTAACCATGCATCGGACGCTTTTCGATGCAAAGGTAATCGGATCGGACATTGTTTACCATGCATCGGACAGACGGTATTTGGACTAGGAAAATATCATACCTTTATTTCAGTGCTTTAAATTCCTTGATATGGATATACTTTTACCGTTTATCTAAGAAATAACCCTCAACTTAAATATAATTGACGATATTGTTGCACAAATGTAGAACGATTCAAGATGCCTCACTTTGTCTTAGAAGTGCTTTAAAATGCTTGTAATGCGGTAATTCGCGCCTTTTTCTCATTTGTTATCATACTCTGGTTTGTAGAAATAAATTGATTCTAAACCTCATATGAAGATTTTGACTGAAAATTTAGAGTTTTTATTTTCTATTTCCAACAAAAACGGCTGTCAGTAGGGTTCTGTATGAAAATGGTCGTTGAATTCTGAGTTATTTTTAAAAACTCGATTTTTGATAATATTTTCTCAATAAAAAGCATATAATTGTGTCCAAAATTTATATTTTAATTACATACTAAATGTTAAACTCCATTTTGATAATTTTCCGTCGGTAGCGCTATCACTAGAACTTGTCGAAGTACAAGGGTGTCCGATGCATGGTGAATTCACCCTACCCTCTATATTACGACCCAGTTATGGAGTTTCCAGTGGCGTGTGTTTATGCTGGGGTCTTTTTTTTGGAGATCGATCACTGTTCGATATCATCTGCATTCACCTTTTTTCATGTATTTTTTTTCTGTGTGTGCAAACGCGAATAAACAAGTATGAAATATGACATATTTTTTTGCTTATAAATGTTCAATTTGTGTTTTATATTAAAAAATAAAAATAAAAGCATGGTTTACTATGAAAAGAGGAAATTTTAAGAATCATTTTCACAAAAAGGAAAAAAAACTTCATTTGAAAAAAGTACATAATGGCCAATGCAAATGTTTTTGGTTTTTTTTTTTTCAAATCAAAACTTCATAATTTGATTTATTTTAAACTTTCATCATCGCCCTGCAACATGATAAGGGATCTTTATTCCATTTCATAATATTAGAATCGATTTCTTTACAAATTATTTGGTGCAAAAATTTAGCCTCATTTCTTTCTAGAAAAGATTTTTGAAGAATTTTACCTTATTGGACCCCATTTTTGGCCCATGGGTCATACATGCTTCTATAAACTAAATTTACTTTTTAAAGATTATATATACAATCATTTGAAATCAGCCAAACCCCGATGGCGTGTATTGTTCACCTCAGAAATAAATTCATATGCCTCAATAATGCAATGATTTGATTGTGAATAAATCAAACAAGTAACTTGCTATTTTTTTTCATGAAATCAAATGGCGGGCTTTCAATATTAGAATAGAAGATTCCGCCTATATGATAAAACCTTCTAAAAATAGTATGGCAGAAAAAATAGCAAAAAAAGTAATTGAACTCTACTATATGCTTTACAACAATTAGTTGACCAAGATTAGAAATAAAAGAAATGATCTTAAGAAATGATTAGATAAAAAAAAGGTGTCTTTTGGGATATCAAATAAATAAATGAAATTTGTACTCACCGATTTCTTCAATTAAAAGCAATATTACAAAAATCCAAGATGAGAAGTATATATTTTTCATTTTTCTAAATCACGTATATACAGTTCATTTTCCCCACTTGACCCAGAAAATAATATCCAACACCTTGATTACTTTGAAAAATTGCACAACGTTAAAGAATACAGGGTGCTTTGACAAATTTAAATGATACAATCAGAATCAACACGAGTAACCCTGATTTGGGACAAAGAATAGCTCCACATCGAACTTTGATCAGCTTAAGTGATAGATACGTTAATTAAAACAAATTTAAATGCTGAAATGCTTTGTCGTATTTTGGCAATATATGTAACACAAACACGAAGATCTGAAAGATTCCGTGCATCTGATGTATAAAAATTAATAACATAATAAATGGTGTATTCTACATTTAACTGCCTTTTTTAACTTGTCATAGAGGGCCTCAAGGAAGAATAGTGCTCGCACTAATTGAGTCACCCTCTTTAAATAAAGTATTATTATTATTATCATTATTATTATTTATTGAATATATTTCTTTTGAATAGTTCAAACTGTTTTCAATTCATATAAATAATTTTTCTAGTGTCAAAGCCTACTAAGACTCCAAAGTTTGAAAATATGTAGTGCTTTTTTAAAATCTTTTTTATCACTAATAGTACTTTAATTAAAAACAATTAATTAATTTAAGAGAGAAGGAAACATCGTTTATTAAGAAGTTCAAGTTCATGGAGTTAAAAATCCAACGATCTAATTCTCACTCCAGAGTCGTTGGTGTTAAAATGTATTAATTTTTTTTTAAAATATATAATCTATTTTTTTTAACAATTATGATGAACCTTTTTGTACAAGGGGATTTATCATCAATTAAATTTTAAAAGTTGCCCAATTTAAGGAATCCGTGCTTTCAATTATTTTTTTTTAAAACTGAAACGAATTTGGTAATTTAAAACGATGTGATCATGCATCAAATAGCTGTTCTTCATCATTTAGAAAATAAAGATATTTTAGGAATTATAAAACACAGTTTAATTAGTTGAGCTATTCTTATTTAAAAACCTGTAATGATTTTAGATTGATAAATCACACTTTAGATCTATGTCATGATAATAGTGTCCATTCACAGCAGGAGTTCATTGTCAGTCGGCCAAAGTATAAAAGCTGCCTAATTACCTAGTAATTATATATAATTAACAAAATTCCATACGAAAATTTCACTAGTCTTTTTTGTGGAAGGGAGGGAGGGATGGAGATTGAAAGTACTGAGGTTAACATTTTTTTTCACTTTATGAAAAAACATGGAGTCAAAGACAATGCATTATTATGCATTAAATTATACGGTGTGATGTGACATTACGAGCTTGTACACTCATTTATATATATTTAAAGAGTTTATCAGTAAATAATGTCATGTAGGTTCTTTATTTTTTTTTTTCAAAATGAAATCCAAGTCTGGTTTTACACGGTAAATATTCTAGGTTTTTACGTAGTATTTCTATAAAAAAAAAAAAAAACCATCGCCTTTCAAATTTAACGTTAGGACTCAAAGTTATATTTTATAAGTTATATTCAAAGTGCATAGGCACAACTGAGATCACATTGAAAAGATACAGTTAAGTTCATATTAGCACGCGAACTAAATGATCAGACGAGGGTTCTGTCTAACGTCTTTACGTCCTCGTAATGCAAAAAAGTACAACAGAAAGAAAGACAACCCCTTTTAACAGCGCTGACTGTTACTTAGGCCTTTTTCAAATGATCTTAGATTATATATACGAGTGTGTCTTGGAATTTCTTTCTAAAATTTTATCGTGATTTGATGAAAGCAAATAATAGGCGTATTTATTATATAGAGTTATATTGTGCAACAATACTGGAAAATTTCACCACGTTCCAACTACCAATGAGATCAAACGAGCTTTCTGAACATGGATAGTTGAAAAATCCGGGGGAGACTTCGACGTAACGTCAAGATGAGTATGTCCAATTAGACTAAATAATTCTTCGAAATGCTTCCTTTTTCTCTCAAGAAAAATCTGGTCATCCTCTCACATCGACTGAACTTCATATCACTTTCATATTTCAAAAATACTCCCCATCTTTGCATGATGTTCCAATTTCAGTAGCAATGTCAAGCACAGTCAGCGGTCAACGTCTATTGACGCTTAATTTGTGTACGAGGAACAATTGATCCTTCACAAGTCGACCATACCTTTAATCAATTTCTATGGAAATTCTACTTTTGTTAAATTTCTCACGCCACTGGAAACCAGTTACTTAGTGCATTTTTGCCAGTTTTCTGTCATTCAGTAACAATTTAAAAAGTCTCTTTCTTACAATAAACAAATGCCACCCTCTATTCACGCTTTAAAGTGCTTGTGGAAGAGTTTTCCAATGAATATTTATTTTCATTTTTTTATTAAAAAGCCATTTGGTTGTATAATTATTTCTAGTATTTTTTACTCTGATTTTCAGCATTTCAAAAACTTATAAAGTCACCGAAATTCTACGTTGTCTAACAATTTAAAAATGAATAATAAATAATCAACCAATAAACGTACAGTTAAATTAATAAAACGTTCACACAAAGGTTTATGAAAGTCAAGCATTCATTATAGTGCCATAATTTTCGTTTTTTAAAACCTTTCTGTGCTTTTTTCCCTTCATTTCACGTATTAAGAACAAAATGATAATGAACGAGTAAATGTCTCCTCGCATTTTCAAACATCCGTTTCTATGGCAACTTCCATAGTGTTACTATCATAAAAAAATATTTCACATGTCTCTATATTTTAATTTGTAATTTTCAACAACTTTCAGGCATAAATAAATAAAATATGAAGAAATTCTACGAACTTTTGGATCAAACCTCTTATATGTAAATTTCCTTGTATGACTCAGTCATAAGTTGCCAATTAAAGCTGGTAGATTTTGTAGTATTGATAGATCTGATAGACACTGTAACCTCTAGAATAACAATTAATGAACTTGGTGATGAGTTTCACTATTTGTTTAATTGTCCTATTTTAAAGAATGAAATACAGAAATTTAAGACATGTTATATTAACATGAACCCAAACAGAATATCTTTTTGTGATTTGATGAATACTTCTGATATACATGTATATGAACTAATAGGCTTAGATAAGTGTTGTAAATCTGCTCTTTAATTTTTGCATGCCTGAACTTCCTACAATGTAAATATTTATTTTCAGTTTTTGACAAGCGTCAGTACTGTCCATATCAAAGATATTTTAGTAGTTTATCATACTATCTGTTCACATGTTTATTTGTTCAATTGTTAAACAATTATTGTACTAACATACCTCATGTGGGGGCTTAAGTGAAATAAAAAAAAATCAAAGATTCTTTCATTTATAAATACTTATTTCATTGAAGATTTACATTTAACAATTATTTATTTTAAATTTGTATTTTTTAACATTGTTTGGCAGACTAAAAATGAAGTATTGTAACGTTATTATGATAAGTAATATCTCTCAAATTACGTGTCACATACTAGTTTTGCATAAAAAATATCAAACCTTCTGTATTTTAAAAAGTGATTACTTCCAATTTAATGTAGTAATAAATAAATTTATTAACTGTGAAAAACAGGAAAAAGATTTTTAAACGTTAATGTAAACAAAATTCATTCAAAAAGATTTGAAAGTACAAATTGTTTAACATATTACTGTTCACTTTAGGCGAATGACTTAGTAGACTAATAATAATAATTTTATGATTAAATTATGAACAGAAATTATTTAAGATGTACGAAACCGACAAGTATATATTATGCGCTAATAGGTTTTCATAATCATAAGCTATACAAGATAATGCTCAACAAATTATCCATTCAAAATTTAAGAGTTACATTTAGAACAGTTTTAATACTTGTAATATGCAATTTTTAATATTGTTTTAAAGGAGGGAATACAGGTATCTTAACATTCTACAGCATTGAGATCGCCTCTATTACAGTTTTACTTGTTTGGTTTTTTTTCTCCAAAATTGCTAATTAATCCTTTCAGAAGCTATGCTTTAATATCAATATCAAAGTATGTATGCTCCTACTCGGTAAAGATAACACTGTAAATTAAAAATACGAAAACAAAATTCTCATATATTTTTTTACAAATGAAATGGATGTTCCACAAAAATGAGAAAACAGCTTTAACAAGTCATCGGTGTTTTTTTCCAGTGAAACTGTCAAAATTTCCTTTTTTAGATCACAAATCGATATGTTGAAAAATTATACATAACAATAAAGTCAAGCATAAATAGCGTAGAAGAATTATGAAATAAATAATTAGAACAATGTTTGAGCACCACAGCAGATATCTTTTTCCTTCCAGTGCATTTTCCGGAGACAGTTAGTTCATTGCAAAGTGAAGAAGTCCTGAAAATTAGAGTTAAATTTTGTGTTATGGCATGATTCATCCATTGATTAGATATTTAAAATTTATATTTACAACAAAGCAATATTTGTCTCTTATCAACACTAATTTTTTTTAAATAAAGTATTAAATGCATGAATACTTAATCAAAAAGACAAATGCTCACCTATATCGCATTTTTCATATTCAGAATTAGATATTGGAGTATAACTACGGCCAAAACGGGGTTAAGCGTATAGGACCATTGTTTGTAGTTTAATTAAGACATGATTGTAATTAAGACATATACAAACCTGCCACAGCAGACTGGAAACCAGCATTGTAGTCACATGCTACTTCATTGGTCACGTATTTGTCTCTTTTGTCCTCATAAAAATCATCCGAACTGGGACCCCCACCAGCGCCCCCTGTAGGACCTGTGGATTAGGGCCAGGACTGTTGAAATCTGCCCAGGTACACGAAGCCGGAACATCTTTACAAGAACTGTAATAAAAAGGTTCAAGACTACATTTCAAAATTAATTCTTATGTTGGACAGATATTTAAAATCAGTTCTTCTTGTTCGACTTAATTACAAAATTTGGCTTATGTTAAAAATATAGATATATACTAGTATATATTTATATTTTCAACTATATATTCACACTACAGAAAAAACAAATTTAAGTCACTTGTTTGTTGTAATATATATATATATATATATATATATATATATATATATATATATATATATATATATATATATATATATATATATATATATTTTGATTCCAATGATCAAGATGTAATTTATCTTATCAATGTGCGAAAATATACACTTATATGATAAATAGTCAGAGTTCATGAATCTTACAGCTGACAACAACAATTGCGACAATGCATACAATCAAAGGATACAAGAAAATAAGCAAACTAATTAAACAAGATGAGATATCAAGGATAGAACAGTGGAACCACTCTTAATTCAACTTTGATATACCGGTAATTGATTTTCTACATGATTCAAACTAATACATGGATTTGAAGACTCATTTATTATGCAAGTTGAGGAAAGCACTCCTTCCTACCTTGTCTTTGATGAAAAAAATAATGGGAGATATGTCTTAAAAAAAAGAAACATTCTACAGTTTGCCATGAATACCAGTTATTTTACCTTCCCCGATGATGCGGTCTCAGTGGATAGTTAGCACCATAACCAATAACATAACTAAAGCCACTATTGTTATCGCCCAGCATATAATGAATCTGTGACTCCGCCCACTGGCGATATGTTGCTGCGTTACCAATGCCAGCATCAGCCGCCAGGAGGGCGATAAAAGCAGCATTTGCTGAAAACAAAAACAAAATGATCATATTAAGTTTAAATTATACAAGGGTGCAAATAAATTGCATTCACACACACACATTTACAAGCTACATTTTTAACTTAGATCCTCACCAGAGTATCTCAGTGGCCCCCATTCCTCCAGGCAAGACCACCGGGTGTGTAGGTCACAGATCCCCCCGGCATGTAAGAAGTAATGAAGTTCTGCACAGCTGTTTTATATCTTGATTCTTTGGTTATTTCATAAAGAAGAATCTTGAAATAAAAAATTAAATGCTGCTTAATCATTCCAAAATAACTAGAATCGTTCTTCACTTTTTTTTCAAATTATTTAAGATGCATTATCTTTTAGCCATTTTTAAATACTGTAGAAATTGATCATATTGATTAAAAATAAAAATCATTTCGGATATTACAATTGAATTGTCCTTAAAATAATTTAATATTCCCTACGTCACAGAGCATGGTTTTGTCGTCCCAGTCGTATGCCCAGCCGCTGTGAGAATAGCTGTTGTAGAAGTCTACCGAGTCACTGAGATACTGTTGATTCTGTGTGGCATTGTAGAGAAGAGCAGCACTAACACATATCTCGTCTTTATACTCTGATGAACTACAACAGAGATTAAACAAATGACTGTTTCAACAAAATTCTCTTCTTCCATATAATGTACACAAAAGCCTACAATCAAATTTAGTTTATAGTTGTATTGCTAATGACTTACCGATAAAACTGGGCACCTTGTGGAATATCGGTGTTGTATGTCCCTGGATGTGCCTTTGCAAATGCATAGAGGCTCTCAGCACTGGCCAGAAGAGTAGATGAATAAGAAGGATCTATGGAGACAGAAATTGCCGAAAAATCAGTACCCAGAGTGGCATGAGTGCACACAGTCAAAATAACACATTTTTTCAGAATTTTTTTTTTGCTGCCTAGACTTTTAAAATAATGAAAGGACTGACCTTCATTTTTAAAGGCGATGGCGCCTGCTGCTAGCGCAGCTGCAGTTCCTCCTGCAACGTCACTTCCTCTCTTGGAACTGGTGAGATAATATGGCGGTCGGTCCATGTTCATATCTTCTGGTCGACCCCAGTAAGCATGGTCCAGATCACCATTACCTACCTGAAATCGAAAATGTTTTTATTTATTCATAAGCCATTAATATTAACGGCAGATGAAATATTTTAATGAACGAATGTAAGATATAAATACTTTCAAGTTACTACGAATCAATCCCATATGATAAATTCACTTTATTACAATGTAGTTGAACACATGTCTGCATAATGTGTGAATGAAGTATATGACTGTAGAAGAAAAATCAGAATATGTACCTGTGCATAGTAAATTTGACTATCACTTTGCCAGCATTTGAGGAAGTAGTCGAGCGGCCATTTTAATGATTTGTACATATATTGGAGTTGTTGAGATGCAGCGTAGGCGTCTCTCCATTTGTATAAACCCACAGCAAGGTTTATTACTGACGCAGACATAGGCAAGTTAAACTTGACACCATCCCCAGCTAAAAAAACATATACTGTAAACTGTATACAGTGTAAATGTTTCTGATATAATCAACAGATTCTAGATGAGAGCGATATTGTCCCTTTTTAAAGGAAGGAAATCTGGTATCTATTTATCCTAAATATATTTTTTTTTTCACAATTTCAACTGGGAAAAACATCTTTGAAAAAAACACTACGACAAGATATATTAAGCTTAATATTAAAAAAGTTCATGTCTGTACTGTGGTTTAATCTTTGTTCCTGGGTGACCAATGTTCGTGGATTTCATGGTTCATCCTTACCAACGAATTTACATCTTACTAAATAAATGATTCTTTTGTCAACTTATTGATTTATTGACTCTTCTAGCTTTGTCAAACAAAACTTTATGTTATAGCATTTTCAACAGAATGATCTTACCATCATACCATCCTCCTGTTAGGTCCTCTCCGTTTATTCCCAAGTCATTAAGAGCTGAGTCCCCTCTCCAGGATATTCGGTGATCAGGAGGAAGAGCTCCAGACTGCTGAGCCTCATAAAACAGGATTGATTTTTCCAGGACAAGGCCATAGTTATGTGATGTGTTCGGGGGTAAGGTGGTGGTGGTGGTACTAGAGGCACCACTAGATGTCGTTGTTGTACTTGTTGTTGGTGTCGTCGTTGTTGTCGTACTTGTTGTGGAAGTTGACTGCGTTGTTGTAGAAGTTGATTGTGTTGATCCAGGCGTGAGGTTTCTAGTGGAACAAGATCCTCTAGGATAATCATCCCTGTTGCCGTTGTAGGTGATGATGAAATTAAATTCAAACAACCCAGGGGATACCCAGTATTTGTTGACGAGTTCATAATAAATACCATTTAAATTATCGCTTAAGATATTCATTTTCCAAATCTGAAACGATACATTCTCTCATGAACTATCAATGACATTTTTTCTTTTCTAAAATCCAAAGGGCTTTCCTTTTCTCTCAGCGTTAGGGGTCCCGAGTTCACTTGTTGTGAGAGGCCTGAAATTTAGTTTACCCCCGAGACAGCTTTTCTCACTAACAGGCACCAGTCATGTTAATTTGGAGTTTCCATGTGTTGGCATAAAATGTCAACACATTTTAAAATGTTAATTGAGTACTTGACATATATTGTAATTTATGGAAATAGTTTCTCAGATTCGTCAAGATTTTAAAAAATATATAAGTATCTGCAAATTTTGCTGAAAAATGTCAGCCCGTTGTACAGTAGTAAAAGTTGCAGTAAAAGTTGTTGGGGGTCCTACGGTTATTCGTGGACTCAGGACCTTTGATGTTGTGAGGATCAGGCTTCACATATGACACAGATCTACTATTTCTTGTAACAATTTTAAATTCAAAGAAACATTTTTCAAGTTCATGATTTTTATTATGTGACACATGTATTATTTAACATTTTTGGATATTTAAATTTGAATTATTATTTTTCATATATGCTATTTATGATGCATATACTTTAGGTCTCATCTGTTTATCGTAACACGCTATTATCATTGAAGAAAAACAAAATTTTGTATCCATATCAGAAGATAAAAATAAATTTATATAAATTTTGCTTAAATTATTGACTCTCTTATTCCGGATTGATTGGTATTTTCCGATTCGTGTAACATATATATGTATTATCCAGTTTCAGTTAAACCAGAAAAGCGGTATATACTGTATAAGCAATATCTTCTCCACTCGGAAGTATGAAAAACATAATTCATAGTCATTTCCATCAGAGAAGATCATCACATGTAATAAAATTCCAATAACATTAAAGGAAACCGTAAAAGCGACAAAAAATTAATGTTTTAATCGTGTGTATAAGTTGACATTTTACTAAGGTACATTTTGCTTACAAATAAGTACGCTCAGACTTAAATAATGTTAGTTAAATACAAGGATATACTTTAATCTATTTTACCTGTATAGAGGTATCCGGTTTCAATTTATTTTATCTTTATCACTTCACTTTCTCTTAAAGTAATTGTATCACGATTTTTCAAAAATGAAATATTATGGGTTAAATTTCTCTTTTAACGACTCTGCCGAATGCGACTTTTCTTTTCATAAAATTAAATTTACCATGAATTCTATACTCATGAAGTTAAAAGAGGCAGAAACTTACTTGCCTTTACCGGTTTACCAAATTTTCAAAAATCGGCACAATACAGTTAATTAGTTCCTGTGAAATTTCCCATCATTATAGGGATAAGTATTGTATTTTCATCTACACTGTATACTGCTACGGAAGCCATCAACCTAAACAATAAACCATTCCAAGGAAAGGGTACGAGGGGATTAACTCGTGACAATGAAAATTTGAAGAAAATGGACGCATCCATTAGAATACATGTAGATACTGTAAATCACTTTTTATCTCGAGAACTTCATTTTCGCGTGATTATGCGATTCCGTCTACTCGCGAAATTTATTCTCATGTACAAGTATAGTATTATAAAGGATTTTAATATTATATTTAATGCAATATTTCTTACAAGTGTAATATTGATGTACAACTCACCATAAAGTGAAGGATTCAGTTAAATCGTAAATTTTATGAGCATCCAGAATATCTTTTCGCTCGTTTAAGATGTCATTACAAATATGTAAATTATCTAATCCATTAGTCCATCGTAAAGTGGTTTTTTTAAAAATAAATTAGGATCTTTCAATCACTTTACATTCTGTGATATTTAAAAACTAGTGCTAATTGTAACGGGGACCGTTACAGATGTTCCCCAAACGCTCCCCAACTCCCTTTTATAGTCATATTACCTGTAAGCGTAATTAAATAAGACAAACTTTATGCATTTGAGACTTTAACAACGTTTACCCAGAAGTGTACCATGTTCATTCAAATTTTATCATTGAACACTTGCGCATGTTGATGCATGTGCGTAATGACCATATCATATTCTCTACACAATCTATATATTCTATTATGCTAAATATTAAAGTACTTAATCCAAAAGTATTAAAAAAAAAAAAACAACAACGCTCATTCAAGTGTATTTTAGATTTTACCCATTTCACGTGCACGCACGTGCATTTATGAGCATGGTGACCATACCTTCTTGTAGAAGTCCATTACATCTATCTATGTTCTAAATCCCACCCTGTTTGGTTGAAAACCAAGGGAGTTATAGCTGTTTAAAGTTTCAGCCAATCAGATTGCAGCGCACGTACACGCACGTGTATGTATGTGCAGGGTGACCATATCTTCTTATGGAAGTCCATCAAATATATCTTTGTTCAAAATCCCAACCTGTTTGGTTGAAAACCAAGGGAGTTATAGCTGTTTAAAGTTTCAGCCAATCAGATTGCAGCATTCGTACACGCACGCGTTTGCATGTGCAAGATGACCATACCTTCTTGTAGAAGTTCATTATATATATCTATGTTCCAAATCCCATCCTGTTTGGTTGAAAAACTAAGGGAGTTATAGCTATTTAAAGTTTCAGCCAATCAGATTGCAGCGCACGTGCATGCACGTGATTTCATGATAATTGCAATACATCATTTTGTAGGATATCCTAATGCATGGTTATGTTCAAAATTTCAAAGGATTTCGTCAAAAAACAAGAAAGATATTGAGACTTAAGTTTCAACCAATCAGAGCGTAGCGCACGTGCATGCGCGTGAGATCTTGCCATATTGACCACGTCATCTTGTTTATACTACTAATACATCCTTACATTATGAGTTTCAAAACATTTCATCAAAAAATAGAAAAGTTACGGCAATATACATTATATTGGTCATTCACGTGTTGCACGTGCGCGCACTTGCAAGCACGTGCGCGCACTTGCAAGCACGTGCGCGCAAAATGACCTTCGTTCCGCAAATCTACATAACATGTCTACTGACCCTAAAAACATTTCACCTTAGTTGGATATGTAGTTTACGAGATCATTCGCGGACAAAAAAGTGCCCAGGAAGAAGAAAAATAATAATAAGAAACAGAGTAAAAACAATATGTTCCCCAACTTCGTTTGGGGAACATAAAGATGCATGGCTTTGAGCATATTTTACTAGCCGAGCACATATAAACACTGGCCGGTGCTATATATTTGCAATATCCCTTAAACAAGTCAAAATGTGGTGTACTAAATATCTTATATCAAAAGTTTGTAAAGAGGTGATTGATTCGATATTCTTGATATACTGGTTTACCTGTAAATTAGAAGTTTCCTGGTTTAGCATCAAATCAACGAAAAGGGTCCCAGTTGGAAAGGAGCTGGAGACGTCAAAGGTGCACTTGGCCTTAAATGTCCAAGAAGATCCACTAGACCATGGATCCTGGACCTTTACAACGGGCACCTGGTAGACGTCACTTCCTGTAGATTGTGACGTAATTGGTGACGGCGTTGTGGTAGTGGTAGTAGTGGTGGTAGTGGATTGAGGACTAGTTGAGGAAGTTGTTGAGGAAGTCGTTGAGGAAGTTGTTGACGAAGTTGTTGACTGATTAGGGGAGGGAAGATTTACAATACATTCCCCAGTAGGAATGCTGTTACCGCTATATTGAAAAATAAAATCTACTGTCTCCACTCCCGCGTGCATTTCATATTTATTGTCCAGTAAATATACCGTTCCGTCACTACTGGCATCGGACACTTCCAACTTCCATATCTACATTAAATATGCGCAAAATAGATATTCATTTAATTTTTACAATCTTATTAAAACTGATATTTTAAATGTTTACTTAATATTTTGATTCAGAATTACATGTAGCACGGGCAATGGAATGATTTCTTTGTAAGAAAACCGGACAAAGCGCGAGGAATGCCATGTCACCCAAGGTAGCTTCTTGTATTTAAAAAATTTTCAACTGTTGAGAAAATTTCTTATAGGAAAAATGAAAAGTTACATTTTTCAGCAAGAAATTCTCTCAACAAATATTTAATCTATTTTAAAGTAATTTGGGTGAATTAGAAATCTGTGAGACATGCAATGAAAAAATAAAAGGTTCTGTATAGTTTTGCCAAGGTTAAGAGGTCATGCCATTAAATCGTGATTGTAATTTAGTCATCAAACTTCAAATAATTCTAGTACAGCAAGGGATTCCTGTTCGTTAAAAAAGATGTTATCGTGCATGTAGTGGTTTATTGCAGCATGATTTTGTATTCCAATTTAATAAATTAATAATTTACGCATACTTTAAAGATGTGCTTTCAAAATAAAAAAAAAAATGGAGCAAATATTTACACATATTGAGAAAATATGTCAAAGAATGAAGACTCTATTTGGTATGTGAACACTACATGTGTACATGCATTTCAGAGACGAATAGTTTCAATACTCGTGAGACTTTAGAAAATAATCTTTGGATACTAGTATTTAAAATAATATTTGAATAATAGTATACTGAAACCAAAAGAAATATTTGCAACGATTGAAATAAACTTTTTGTCAAATCACAGTCATTTCACATGGCTTATTCATTCTTTATTGTATTCATGTATGTATGGGCACTTACTTGCAAGTTTGTTGTAGGTGTGTCAAGTATCATTTCCACCACCACCTGTCCTATTTGATAGGACTTGTCTACAAGAAGCTCGCACTGACCATTGAAATATTGCACTGAGCCCTCCGTCCAAACTGATAATTTTTGGACGTCGACTCGGTATAAGGCGTCTACGCCGAGGGTTATCGAAGACAATGCAATGATTAAACAACACCTGGAAAAAAATGTATTCATTAAATAATTAAAGTATAAAGTTCACAATTTAAAATGCGTTTTAAGTTCAATATACAGAAGTTTACACGGTCAGTTAGAGCCTCTATAAAATTTAATATTTATATTTTCATTTTTTTTCTCTACTATTGGTCCAAAAAAAAAAACACTGCCAATACATTTTAAATTTCATTTTTTTTTTTTTAAATTTTCTGCTCATTGGTAAAATTCTTGCCTTAATTTTTAAATTTAAAAAATCGTGGCAATTATAAGCTGCGCCTTCCTTATCGTACAAGTCCCTACCCCCCTTTCACCTGATTAAATTGAAAATTTTGCTTGCACATAATTTTTATATGGCTCTTTACAAGCAAAAAAAACAAAATCATTTTTTTCCTTAGTCTTTCATTTTTTTTAACAATACTTACTTGAACATGTTGCTGGTGTTGCCAAAACTGCTCAGCTGATATTTATACAGTAGGCTCAGATATTTATACCAAAATCAGCTCCTTTATCGTTATGCATTCAAAGCATTTAATAAATATATAAATTAAATAAATACGCAAAATGAGCATAAATGCCAACGTTCGCTTAAATGGACCGATTTAAGATTCTTTTTGCAAACCTCGCAATTTTCTCCCTTTCAATCAAATATTAACTTCAAACAGGGTATTTTAAGTGTATTTATAGTATTCGTGTTTACCTCAAACGAAATCAACAGGTAAACACCGCTTGTGAGTCACGTTTCATAGAGAAAGATCCGGAGATTATAAAGACATTTAAATTTATTTTCAGTATAAGAAATTTAAATATGAAACTTTCAAATTGCCATCCGAACCGTAAATTATGTAACTTTAAATATAAGTTAATTTTTCATCGAAAACAGAAGAAAAAATCCTCAAAATATATATTTTTCTTTGTATAATTTTTCTACTTGATTGGTTTATTTCATTATATGTCCATCCTGTACTTACGTTTAAGTTGTTGGGGTCAGCAAGGTCACAGGATGACTTCATTATTGGTTTTATTTTCCACTGACAGCTTTATGTTAAAATTGTTGATGTAAACAAGAAAATGAGGGCACGATATCGTTATTGCACTCATGATTTCAAAGTCACGAAACTGTGATGTAGCCTAATTTAAAAAAAAAATAAGTAAGGAGAAGCATTTTTTTAAGAAAAAAGGTATTTTTACCCAACAATTACGCAACGTTTAACACAAAATTTGGAATATCAGAACATTCCAAGAGGGGAGAAGGACCTACTGACATCCCCTTTCCAGATTCACCATTTCCTTTGAATCTTATTTTCACTAAATAATTTTATCAGACATGTATTTCTCACCCCCAGAATTTAAATGTTTACTCCAAACATTTTCAAACAAATCAGTTTATATATATTATGCCTTACTTCTAAGGAATGTTAAAGTTCGTTTCATGGTGAAATATTTTCGAAAATGTAAAAGTAGTGTTTAATGAAAGAATTGATTGTACCTTAAATTTGTAGCAATTCATTTTTAGCAGGAAGTTACAGAGTTTTTCTTCCATATGAAAAAGAAATATTTAAAGCACTTAAATGATAGAAATGCTGGTCTTTTTCGTGTGAAAATATAGTATTAATTACTTTTTTCTTCACAGCTAATCTTACATCACACAAAACTGATGAGCTTAGGTATAAGAAAGATGGGTTTCCCATATTGAAATTCTTTTAATTACTGACTGGATAAATTTTGCATAGGTTTTGAAAGGATGTTTTGACCTGTGTGCATAATATATATGTCACAAAAATGCTGCGTCCCTATTTTTCAGAATAGAAACCAAATAAACAAAATACAGTTTACACCTTATCAGTAGCAAGAATGGACTCTGTGAACATGAAATATGTTCTCATTGTATGGGGTGAACTTTCTTAACAAATTAAAGGTACTTGGAAACATATTTGAAGTTAATATTTTCCTTATAATATTACGACTTATATATTTTAATAGCATTTCACACAGAAATTAATTTAAAATCTTATTTCAACTAAAAGTTATTAAAACTTCAAATTTTTTGGCGGGTTTGATTGACACATCCTTGCACTTTCACAAATTTTAATTTTATTCTTCATACTTAGGAAAAGTGGCAATCTTGTTGTGTATAAATGAAAAATAATAAAACTATAATCCAGAAAATTCAGAGTAGACATGTTCAAAAGTAAAACAAACACATAATATATTGTCAGTCCTTGCAGTTGTGGTGAACAGACTCTGACGAATGAACACACCCGGTGAATTGTAAACATCAATAATAACAGAGATCGTGTCCTGTTTACAAAAACTGTGTACATAACACGAGTGTAACTCTGTACATCACATTTGGCTCGGAATGACTACTTGTGAAGGAGTTTTGCTTTCTAACATTTCTACTCTGAATAAAATTATTTTTCTTGATTTAAGTTTCAATATTTCTCGTTTATACACAACAAGATTGCCACTTTTCCTAACGAGTAAGAATAAAGTTAAAATTTGTGAAAGTGAAAGGATGTATCAATCAAACCCGCCAAAAAATTTGAACTTTTAAATGAAACAAGATTTTTAATTAATTTGTGTGTGAAATGCTATCAAAATATATAATTCGTGATATTATACAGAAAATATTAACTTCAAATCTGTGTCCAAGTAGCTTTAAAACATCCTTTATAATCTAAAGATTTTTCAATGCCTGCACAAGTTTCATATTTAATTATCTAGGAACTTTGTTTTCTTTCGCAAAACGGCCTCATTTTTAGCTCTACTGGTCAGAGACCAGAAGAGCTTATGCGATAGTAATGCGTCCGTCGGTCTGTCTGTCCGTCTGTGTGTCTGTAAACAGTTTTTAAAAATGCTACTCCTCCTACAGTTTTGGTCCGATTTCAATATAACTTGGCATACAAGTAGACTCTAAGATACATAATTCTGTGCATCGGTTTTTGATTTCGATGAATGGTGTTGCCGTGGTTACTAAAAATAGAAATTTCTGTGAAATTCTTTCAAAATGCTACTCCTCCTACAGTTTTGGTCTGATTTCTATATAACTTGACACACAAGTAAGCTATACTAAGATACATAATTCTGTGCCTTGGTTTGTGATTTCGAACGGTGTTGCCATGGTTACTAAAAATAGAAATTTCTGTGAAATTCTTTCAAAATGCTACTCCTCCTACAGTTTTGGTCTGATTTCAGTATAACATGGCACACAAGTAGACTACACTGAGATACATAATTCTATGCATTGGTTTTTGATTTCGATGAACGGTGTTGCTGTGGTTACTAAAAATAAAAATTTCTGTGAAATTCTTTCAAAATGCTACTCCTCCGACAGTTATGGTCCGATTTTAATATAAATTGGCACACAAGTAGACTACACTAAGATACATAATTCTGTGCATCGGTTTTATATTGATGAGTGGCAAGGATCATTTTTCTATTTATTGCTGTTTTAAAGTTTCAAGTTTCAACATCTACTTTTCTCTTCCTCTGTTTTAAGTATAAACCAGTAGAGCTACAGTCTCGACAGAGACCTCTGGTTAGAATAAATATTGCTAATACATGTATTGTATGTCCGTTGAATTTTAATATTACTGAAATTTATGAAAAATTTGGCTAAATTCATTAATCCCATAAAAGCAGTGACTGTTAGAAACTTTTCAGCTATTGGGGAGGGGGGAGAGAAGTTCATTGGAGGAAAAATGAGTGCAGACCCTTAGAAAAGAGCGGTTCGACAAGCAAATTAAATTGACAATGAGTAAATAAAAACGTAACCAGTTCAAATCGAAAAATATTATTTTTGATTCGACCACTCTCTAACATTTTGGTACATTTTCTTAAAGGTGCATGGACACAGATTTGAAGTTAATATTTTCTGTATAATGTTACGACACAAAAATATATTAAAAATCTTATTTGATCTGAAAGTTATTAAAACTTTTTAAGACGGGTTTAATTGACACATCCTTGCACTTTCACAAATTTAAATTTTATTCTTCATACTTAGGAAAAGTAGCAATCTTTCACAAATTTAAATTTTATTCTTCATACTTAGGAAAAGTAGCAATCTTGTGTATAAATGAAAAATATTAAAACTATAATCCAGAAAATTCAGAGTAGAAATGTTAGTGAGCAAAACATACACACAGTATATTGTCAGTCCGTGCATGTGGTGAACAGACTTTAACAATTGAACACGCACGGTGAATCGTAAACATCAAAAATCACAACGCTCGTTCCCTGTTTACAAAAACTGTGTACGTTTCACGGGTGTGATCAATTTGCTAAATTCTGTACACAACACTTAGCGCGAAATGACGATACTTGTGAATGGGTTTAGTTTTCTAACATTTCTCCTCTGAATAAAATTATAATTTTTCTGGATTAAAGTTTTAATATTTTTCATTAATACACAACAAAATTGCCACTTTTCCTAAGCATTAAGAATAAAAGTAAAATTTGTGAGAGTGCAAGGATGTGTCAATCAAACCCATCCAAATATTTTAAGTTTCAATATCTTTAAGACGAAATAAAATTTTTAATATATTTTTTGTGTGAAATGCTATTAAAATATATTATACAGAAAATACTAACTTCAAAAATGTGTCAATGCATCTTAATGCTAAACTTTGCCAATGTTTGACCTATCAGCAACAAAAAGGGACGTTTGGATTACCAGCATCAAATAATAATAATTTAAGGTCATACGCAACGTAGTTTGAACTTTATTGGGTTCTTCCCTGGGGTTGAAGAGTTCCACTAAAAGAAGGAACTAGGCCTGTGTGCAATATCATTAATGCATATATATGGATTTGTACACCTCTTCTAAAACAATTTCTGATGGAAAAAAAATCTTGAATAAATGTTTTGTATTTTTTGTACATTTTTCTTTGGATAATACAAATTTTTTCAAAATTTGATATCTTTTCCAAACCCCTGGTAACGCATGCTGATTTTTTGTCTATGAACATGTACTGGAATTATAAGTTTAAATTTAGAATATCTTGAAAAATTATCAGTAGGTAAGGTACCTTGCGTATATCCTTAAGTAAAGAAATTACCACAAAAAACTTATACTTGGGAAAAAGAGGACCCGGCCTCCTGCCAACCCCAATCCCTACCGTAACCCCTGTTACAAGAACGCAGAGATTGCATGATTAGAAGTTGTTGGTGAGTGGTGTGTATGCTAACAAAATAAAGAGTTAAGATTATACTATCGTTTGGAACGCTACAGGACAATCTTAAGCCATCCGTAAGCTTTATTTACCTCATTAAAAAATAATTCAATTAAATTTATCAGCTGTTTAAATGATTCACTCCATAATAACTGGAGCGAAACTGTGCTTCGAGGAATGGAAAGTAATTTATTTAAAACATCTGATCAAATCTGATTTTGGCGATATGATAAGCTTTAATCAACTGTCCAAACCCGAGGTCAACAAAATTATCTGTCGACACAAATGTCAATTTATATCTTCTCAAAGAAAAAGATATCATTAATTTTAATGTTTTTTAACTAATACATGTATATACAAATTATGCATTATATGAATTGGAAGAACAAAATAATAAACAAAATACTTAATGTAAACTATTGATCTCGTTAATTAAATACTTCGTATCATTATTAAGCATTTCATGGCATTTTTTTTATACCAAATTAGTAAGAAGTTTTGTAGGAATTAAATATTTTTATTTGATTTTTTTTTGGGGGGGGGGGGGGGTGGGGGGGGGGGGGGGTAAGAAGATCCTAGAAATTACTGAATAATAAAAAAAAGTATTCAAAATTCCCAAACTGACTGTGATTTTTGTAAACTGGGCTTTGGAAGCTATGGGCATTTCCCACAGCTTGTTCACCAATGTTATTTTAACTTCATCTTCCGATCGATCTTTTAATGGCTACTACTTATAGAATATCTGAAAACATAATACTATCGATATGCTTCCGATGCACAAAGGAAATCAAACAAGCTAATTCATTTCTCTTCGTGTTTTATTGAAGAAGAAAAGGAAAAAACTAAATCTAAAATCAATGTCTAGAACATGTACATAAAACATAAAGATAGCAGGAAACCGAAATAAATACATGCATATATTATTTTAACATCCGATTTGTTAACGTGTATTATTCAATTTGTTTGCACACACCGTTGCAGTTATGAGACTATCGCGTGATATTTGATTTTCGCTTATGACATTGAGTTTTCACGGTCATGGTGTTTTTAATGCCGTAAATTTCCTAATACTTTTTATACAAAATACATGTGTAATGCAAATACAAATGTATAAATATAAACATTTTTACCTGAACACAACTTTTAATAATAAAGAAAACAAATACAAATGCATGAAATGTAACACAAAAAAAAAACAAAAAACAAACAAACAAACAAAAATATCAAATCATAGTAAGACAGCAATATATGAAAACTGGTCAGGAAAATCTTATTTATTTTATCGCGTGGAAGAGCGCAGCTGTCAGAAGACACATGATGCTCAACACCGGAACGCCCGCCGCGGCAGAACCTAAAGAATAAAAATATAAATTTATTTATTGCACCTACATATACTAACAAGATTTGTTATTCTTTTACAAGAGTGAATAGATATGATTTTATAGGGCCTAGTAAAATCACCCCTACTAATGTTATTGTGATTTAAATTCAAGACACGTGGTTTAGGTTGATCTATTTAAAGGTTAAAGGGTAGAACCGGTTTTATAAATAAAATTGGCAGTAAGCATGACATTGCTATAGCCTGTTTCTTTTGAGAACATGTCCTGCAATAAATTTTTCCAGACCTTTCTGAAAGACTTTCATGATTTTCAACAGAACAAAAAGGTGGCTAAAGGAGGGGGTGTTAAAATAACATTATATCTTATACTTTTCGGCGAAAATTAGAGCCCACAAGTGACCGATTCGCTAGTAAAAAAAATTTGTAATATCATCTACACTGACACACCTTTGTTTGCCTTATATGGCTATTGTAATAAATGCGCACAGACGATCTTATCACGAGCATCTGACCAATCGTTGAATGAATAGCAACGTTTACGCCAAATACATGTTTACATTTTACTTCGAACACGTGGTTCAGGCCAATCTAGGATCATGTCAATGGGCTGCAAAATAAAAAAAAATGTTCTTACGAACAAAATACAAAGGAAAGAAACTATGAAAGATGTTACGGGCGTTTTAATTTGTTGTTAACTGAAAGAAATGTTTAATAAAATGTAGTTTGTGTCTAGTTCAAAACACCAGCGCTTCAAGGGTAAGGAAAACGAGCAGCATCTATTAATATGCATTTAAATGGACAATACTTTGTTTACGTTCGTGTTCACGTGTTCGGCCAGGGAATCCACCTGGCAATAGTATTCACTGATAGTACAACAAAGGAATTAATACAGACGCAAATCTCTTTTGCAGTATGGCTTTCAGAAATCTAGATTTCCATCATTTATTAACAAATGAATTGTTTTTTATTATGAGCAGGAAAATAATATTTTTAAGAATGTTTTTCATTTACCATAAGATTTCCTTTTTTCTCAAGCGTAAAATTCCTGTAGTATTCGTAGTAACCCATAATGCAATACTCATTCAGCTGATTGGTCAGTTAAAATCAAGCTGGTGCCTCATTTGCAAATCTGACGCCAAAAAATATAGTCCCGGTTCCCATGCAAATATATCTGTCCAAAAAATTGCAATTATAGAGAATATTATTTATTTAAGTTTGAATGAATATAAGAGAGATCGATCGATTGAAGTACATTTCTACAGACATTATCAGCTGATTCTAAGGTGGTGAAAACTGAAACGCAACATAACTTTTCTGTTTACCATACCTCCACGTGCTAGTCACTTCCTAGCCACATTTTCGTGAATTATTTACCCTATCTCGCTGAAGTCTCGCTAACTCTCGCCAGAGCCACTGCCAGAGCTAACTCATCGGGTTTTATAATTTGCAGAACACCGAAAAATAAAAAAGTTCCGAACACATTAGTAGGGGTGAAAATAACTGTTTTTAACTGTTGTTACATTTACTTACTATGTAGGATAGTTGAAAAATCAACCAAAATGTAATTAATGTATTCGCTTAATAAATGCTACCACACAGTTAAGAACAAGTGTTCATGTAATAATTAGCAAGAGGTCGATGGGCCACATCGCCGACCTAAAAAACTCTAACCATTCTGTTCTTGAACAGATTTCTCACCTTGTTATTTTGTGGCCTCGCCCTACTCCAGGGGGTCATGATTTCAAAAACAAAAAATAAAATCTGCACTACCCTAATATGCTTCCACATAAGTTTCAGCTGGTCCAGTGGTTCTTGAGAAGAAGATTTTTCAAGTGTTTTCCTATATATTTTTCAATGTAAAATTTGGATTCCATATTGTGGCCCCGCCCTACCCCCGCGGGTCATGATTTGAATATTTAAGAATCTACAGTAGCCCAGGATGCTTCCACATAAGTTTCAGCTTTTCTGGTCCTGTGGTTTTTGAGAAGAAGATTTTTCAAGTGTTTTCCTATGTTTTTCAATGTAAAAATTTGAATTCCATATTGTGGCTCCGCCCTACCCCCAGGGGTCATGATTTGAACATTTAAGAATCTACACTAGCCAAGGTTGCATCCACATACGGTTCAGCTTTTCTGGTCCAGTGGTTCTTGAGAAGATTTTTCAATGTTTTCCTATGTTTTTCAATGTTAAAATTGGATTCACTATTGTGGCCCCCTAGATGCAGATCTGTAGCTCTCTGGTTGAAAAAATTCGGATATACAAACCAGAGAGCTACAGATCCAAGCGTTGTAAAAACCTTCAATTTAGGCCGACGTTTTTTTTTTTTCGTCGCTCGCTTCGGGCATGATATCTGACTTTTTAAGCATTCAACCGCCTAAATATTTATATTTATTAATTAAACATATATTTTACCACAACTATGGTTAGTTTATTTACCTTTAGTGGTTCCAAACGGCCATCCTTCGCAGTGGAATGTTTTGAAAAATTCGCCTTCTGACAGCCATGTTTTCTAACTGGCGAGATCTCGGTATTTGGTCACGTGACGAAGGGGCATAACTCCAAATAGCGTTTCACGTGTTTACCTTCACAACAATCGGCATACGATTTGATTTCGGTCTCTATCTAAACAAATAAACACTGACAACTATTTATAAGTTTACTTTTTTAGTTTAGACATTAATCGACGAAATAAACGCTTAATCAAGTATCCTTTCTGATAACTTTATAGTTCTATGCTTGTCTGAAAATGTATACACCATTTTTCTATATGAGATACGGATGCTGCTCATGTGATAAGCATACTACTATGACGTAATACACAATCATTGAAAGACCATGCCGTCATGGATCCAAACAAGTGCATAAATTGTGAGCAGCCATTTGTAATTAAGAACAAAGGTTTTAAAAGACAATTTAAAAATTGCCAATACTCTTAATCCACCTCAATGACATTTTAAACAAACAATTAATTCTTCCTTAAACACCAACCCAAAAGTTTTGTGCAATGACTGTGCAACTTTGACAATCAACATTTATAAACATGACACGTAGAAGAAATCCTCTGTTAAACCAGAAAAAATAAATGTAAAAATAAAATTTAATTTCACTCTTGTGAAGCTTGTTAAAAGAAAATGCCAGAGTTCTACCCCAAAATGTCTGATTTCTACCCCAAAATGCCTGACTTCTACCCCAGTAAAATCTATTAAATCAAAAATTTTTAAGAAAGAGGGGTTCAAAGACAAAGTGTGCAGGTACATCAAAGATTCACACTATGACTATGCTTTGAGAATTTTGATAAAGAAAAGCAAGCGTGCAAAGGATGCATTGGTGAATGTTCTACGGCGTACGATTAAGAAGGAGGTGAAAATGTTAACATTCCGTCCCTCAAGATTCCATCAAGTTTGAAGTCTTTAATTTACAGGAGTTTCAATGGCAACAGGTTATATAAGAATGAAGTCATAGTATGCCTCTCTTGACAGGACTTTTGCAAGGATCATTGTCAAGCCGTTGGAACAAAAATGCCGACATGTAAGTTAAATAACTTGACATGTTGCATAAACCAAAAATAAAGGGCGTAAAGCATGACGGCCAATTTTAATAATACCTAAATTGTACTATGAAAAATACACACATGAAAAAAAGTATATCTTAAACCAGAAGGCTCTGTTGAGACTGTAGCTTTACTAGTTTGTTTTTATAATAAAGGAAGAGTAAAGGTTGCAGTTGGGACTTAAAACTTTACAAAAGCAACAAATAGAGTAATGGTCCTTGATTAAGACTCTTTTTGTGGCAAGATTGCAATAAGACTACAACTGTAGGAGTGGCTTTTAATAAAACTTTACTTAACTTTCAATTTAAATTACTATGGCAACATCAATCAGCAAAAACATAAAGCTGATAATTTAAATTATGTATCTTAGTGTAGTCTACTTGTGTGCCAAGTAATATGGAAATCAGACCAAAACTGTAGGAGGAGTAGCATTTTGAATGTTTTTCAAAAAAATCACTATTTTTAGTAACCATGGCAACAGATTCATTGAAATCAAAAACCGACACACATAGTTATGTATCTTAGTGTAGTCTACTTGTGTGCCAAGTTCCCAGATAGTATGACTATGTTGGGCCAACACTGGCAAAAGGTTGTATGGTTGGCGTTTGGGGAACAACGTTGGACCAGTGTTACCATGCCAACCTTCTCGACCATGACAGAATTTTTATGTTGGCCCAACGTTGGTCCAACGTTAGCAACTTCCATTCACTTTACTTTCCAAGGAAGGAGGGATGTTTATGTTGGTCCAACGTTGGCCCAATGTTGGTAATACACCCTTAAAGAAAGTGTCTTTCAATGTTGGGAGTAGTCTGTTGGCCCAACGTTGGCCCGATGTTTGTAATACACCCATAAAGAATGGGTCTTATCAAGTTGGTAGTAGTATGTTGGCCAAACGTTGACCTAATGTTTGTAATTCACCCTTAAAGAAAGTGTCTTATCAAGGTAGTAGTGGTATGTTGGCCCAACGCTGGCCCAATGTTTGCATATGTAATACACCCTCAAAAAATGCCTTATCAAGTTGTAGTAGTATGTTGGCCCAACCTTGGCCCGATGTTAGCACGAGTGTTCTTTTGTTTAGGTGTTTCAAAGATGTTTATGAGAGACTGAAAGGAAAACTTAGTTGTGGCGGTAAATAACAATGAAATCGTTGTTTGTATATGTGTATGAAGTACGAGTATCAAGATGAAGAAAACGGGAGGCGACGAAGGGACGGCAAAAAGAGCGGGAATACAACAAACGGACAGTGATAGAGAAAATGAGCCCTGATTAAGAACTTTGAATTGATATTTTTTCATAATTTACCTCTATTGTCTATTTTAAACTTTATTTTGTAAATTATGTTTGAATTGATGTATATAAAATATTTTCCACAGTGAATCATTAGTAATGTTTTCATTGAACATGCCCATGTATGGATTATGAATGCAGGTTGAATTGTGTATTGATTTTTTTAAACAGTCAT